TCCAGTATAAGTCTGGAGGATAGTGTGCAACTTTTATTGAAAAGATGATTAAATTTTGCTCTTCCAAATTAAGTAAACTATTCTATAAACATACTTGTCGATTTAGTTAGCTTATTTGATAGATTGCCTGAATAGTATTGAGTTGGAAGTGGTTCCTCATCTTGACCAAATAATCACGCTCAAGCAATCTTATGTTCTAAATAGGGTTTCTGGATATGTAAATCGCAATAATCTAATTGTTATGAAGGCCGAATAAGGTGGAACGGTGGTAGTAATTGTCAGGTCAAGTTATGTAGTTAAAATGCTAGTTTACTTAAATGATACTAACACGTATAGGCTTTTACTGAGAGATTCAACAGAAGGACTTAAGACTAGGTTAAGGGATGCCCTTAAGGTATGCGTTAGTAATGGTGGAATGGAGAAATGTAAAATTAATTCACTATTCCAGAGGGATGCAAAGGCCCTCACGGCTTAAGTTTCACAAAGATGATGTCCTTCTTACATTTATAGTAAATAATAAAAGGAGCGTGATTCATAAAATCTCGCGTATTTTATGCAAATAATTACGAAAGACTACGTATTTTTGGCGATATTCAGTTAAAAATTCTCATGAGTCTATGAAATGGATAGATCAGCAGATTCTTTCAGAGGAGGATAGACTAGTAAGTTTTGATGTTGTGTATATGCAGACAAATATTACTGTCCAAGGAGCCATTCAGGCTCTAGCCCAATCTCTGGAAGAGCATCCAGGGATCATAGAGGGAATAAGGTTAAGTATAGCCTCCATTTTTAGATTTCTTAACTTATCCATGCGTATCAGCTATTTTACCTTTGATGACAAGTTTTACTAACAAACCCAAGGACTTATGATGGGATTTTGCTTAGCTCCCATCTTGGCGAGCAACTATATGGCCAAACTTGAGGAACGTCTGGGAATGTACCAAGTCCAAGGTCCAACTCTGGAAATTATCATGCATACTATGGACTCCGGACAAGGTGCGTTTCTCTAGGTCTTCCTGCCAATATGATCAAGTTGCGAAAACAAGGTCAAACAACTTCTATACAACGAAAGGAGTCTGCGATCATACAAAAGGCCACACCATCTTGGTTTTCATATCTTTGAGGAACATTTTTTGGAATAGGCAATACTAACGCCTAAATTGTGGGTTGGATACATGGGTGATTAATTTGTGATCTAGGCTCATAGTAATGAAAGCTTAGATAGTTTCCTACCTTCACTTAGACAATGTGAAAGGAACATTAGATTCACGATAGAAATATAAGAGGATAGTCCTTACCCTTTTTGGATGTTCCGATCATTAGAGAAGAGGGTAAGTTAGGAAGAGGTGTTTATATGAAGTCAATTTATGTTGGCTCTTGGTTGAATTTTCTTTCCAACCATACTTACAAAACTATGGTTTGAATTTTGAAAGCAATGACATTTAGAAGAATGAGACAAGTGGATATCAACCATTCTACTAAAGAGTTGGAACGACTGGCAAATGTATTCCTGAAAAATAATTATTCATTGGGCCTAATTATTCATTATATCTCATTACCGAGGGATAAATTTTCAGACGGAGACTATATAGTCGAAGATAAACAAGCGGAGACGTTTTCTTATGTCCTAATTTTGTCGCCATGCCTTCTCTCAAATAGGATAGGAAAACTAGTAAGAAACAATGGAATAATAACAGTGTCTAAATAAATCCTCATACTTTCTTCGGTTATGCCATCTTTTAGAGAGAAATATTATCAATTACCGAGATTCGGATGCTGCAAGATTGTTTGCTCCTGTGGTTGGCCTTATGCTGGTGATACATGCAGACCCATTGGATAAAGGCTAGTGGAGCATAAAAGCATGTGTAAAGGAAGCTGGGTTCAACGGCCAGAAGTGGCAGAACACATCGCAGAGACTGGACATGAGATAGAATATTCTCAAGTTAGTAGGTTTGCTTATTATGGTACGTCTGTGGTAAAAGAAGGATAGGAGAGGCTATTGAAATTAATAAAATAGGTTATACGTTGAATGTGAGGAATGGTGGTATAAAGTTGAGTAAAAACTACTTATTCTTGATTGATAGATTGAAAGTGAGTGAGAAAGTTGAGCCGCTACCCAAAAAAGGCGACTCAACGTTTCTGCTCAGTAATGGTTCTAACTACACTCACACTCGTCCAACATGTTAGATTAGGTTCGTAAACCAAACCAGACTTACGAGATTACGCACCCTAATTCATGCCTTTCTTTGGGTAGTTAAATGTTAATTCTTATAGAATGAGAGGTAAGTACATTTGATTTCGTAGCTTGGCTTACGCACCTACAAGCTTACACCTAATTATCTCAACCTCACTTTCTTACGGACTTACGCAGTCTTGGTCAGGGCCTTTTCTTAGGTGATCAAGCCTTGATGACCAGAGTCTGACATCAACCTTTATTGATCACTTTGATTTAGGATCGGTGTTGCCTATAAAACTTAACACACCGACACACTCGAGCAAAATTAGCAGGACCGGTATGACAAATAATTAGCCAAACCATCCTATATCTATCTACGCCTATTCATTTTCGTTTTTAGTTATGAATACATATAAGAGGTAAGGTAGAGTCAGATAGTCTTCTTTACCTAGTGTTAGCGTAAGACTTTTACAAGAATGAGTTCCAGCTATAATGATGTTCTTCATATGATGGACGGTAGTTTAAACCGTTTTCACCCGAAGCGAGTGAGCATGTCTCGTGGACTACGCCAATTTGAACGTAGTAGTAAATCCATAAGTCTGCGGTACAATGGGATTCAGACATCGTCTCCTGAGTCAACTGTTTCTGGTCTCAGCTACATCTCTCGATTAGAGTTATGGTTTAATTTGTCTCGCACTTTAATCCACAATTTCAAGTATATGACTGCTATTTTTTATTGCCCCGTATGCTGATACTATAAATGCTACAGCTATCTATTTCTCTTCACTAAGCTCCTTGCAGTATTCTTCTCCTGATTCTCAATTATTTTACGAGGGCTTCTTATTTGCGATTCCTTTTCTTCCTGATCAAACTGCTCCCTTGATCTTGTCGTCTTATTTTTGCTGCTTCCTGATATTCTCCGAGTTTGCTTAAGTAATACCCAAAATATTGCTAATTCTGTCTTTCTACAGTTTCATACGAACTAGATTTTATTTAGCCTGTATATTTTTGGCTTCTCATATCTTGCGTTCCCTTGTGTTTTCACCATTTGTGGCTAGTCATTCTGTTGTCATTCAGTCCATAACATGTCTAGTCCGTGTAATCTGTTCCTCTAATTTGGATCTTTCCGTATCCATGTGTCTGCAGAGTCATTGGCACTCCTCTATTCCTCCTGTTTCATCAATATACTTCTGCTCACAGTTTCTGCATGTGCTGTGATAAACTTCCGAGGAATTTAGATTACTACTCTTCTCGAGTTGTTTCGGCAAGCTGGTAAGGAGTGTTGGCTCCCTCTTCTTCTTAAAATTCAATTTGATATTTTATTTTCTCAATATTAGTCAAAGGTTCACAGGATTTATAATATCTATGCTGTCATCTTTATTTATGACCCTTTTATTTCTGTGTATTACTTGTCCGAGGTATCCATTACTAATACAAATCTGAGTAATTTTTTTGAATCCTCTCTACTCCCGTTAGTTATGAGCTTCTGATGACCAAACTTATCAATATCTCGAACATCAGTCTGTAGTTCAGCAGAAAGTTCGTCAAGGGATGAACTCGCTTGTATCTTTGGTAAGATGTAGCTTGGTGCCAAGGTAGGCAAGCTCAACGTCAATGTGGCTTAGAATGCTAATTAAACTTCCTGGAATGTGCTAGGTCAACGGTCTGACGCAAAAAATTATTATGGCTACCATAGCATAAGACTTCGTATAAACTGTGTCTCTCTGGTAAAACGACAAATGTGCGAAACTAAGGCCAAACCACTTCCATACAATGAAAGGAGACCGCGACCATAGTAAAAGGTTTTATTGTGAAGTTTAATTTAATTTATATTTCCATCTATATTTTCATCCACAAATTAGTAAAGTCCTCTTATGGCTTTAAATGCTAACGCTTGGACTAAACTAGCCGGTATCTACATGTTTCTGCTTGACCTTGTCTAACTTAAGGCTTGACCACAAATAATGCCCCTCTTATAGAAGAATGTGTTCACACTGCAATGCACACTACACACTGTGGATAATAATAAATAAATCATCATACCATGATTTACCGTCAATTGGTGATATTTCATAGGCCCCACGTTGTCCTTCGTCTTTTTAAGTAACATTTAAATGATAATTACGAAGGTCTTGGCTTGACTAGACAGAAAAGAGCCCCGTGGTCTCGGAAAATATTAGTTTGGGTTCAAGGGTCGACTAATTTTTCAAATTGACAGCGGCTTAGATGAACTTGGGTTGCCCCGCATTTCCCTAGTCGTACCGATTAAAGCCATCCAAACATGAGACTTATTCTTCTTTAAAGTTTTGAAAATGAGGTTGTAGGTATCCAACTACTTTTATAAGAGTTTTACCCTGGTGAATGTGTAACTGCATTATTGGCTGTTGCTCATGCCTATGGCTTGCGTGATGCTCTTTCCAAGACCATGTATGTCCTGAGACAGATAGAAGACGAAAGACTATGGTGTAGAAGTTATATAAGGATCAGTTGTGCAAAGATTATTGTTTTTATTACAGATATGGTTTATAAATATACAAATTATGTAGGAATAAGACAACCAAGACAGCTGGCTAGAGTTATACAGCCAAATCAGATAAAACGCCAATAATGGGATGGAGTGAGGACCCAAATATAGATACATCATTGGCATTAATCGGTCATACGACAAAATCACTGCGTTTGCAGGGTTGTGAACTGAACGATGTCTTCTTTGATGGCGCAGAGCAAATAGAATCCTATTGATGCAGACTTAATGGTACCGTTGTTGGGCAACATTACCTTGCTTTCGATGCTCGTTTAGTGCGGCCATCCAACCGAGTTTGCCATGACGCAGCTAAAAGGCGAGCTGATGCGGTGGATACAGACGAGACATATGGGCCATCGGCTACAAGGAGAAAAGTCTCCTGGTGACCACAATCCCTGGGAAGATCTAGTTCCAAAGCTAGCTCTGTAGGATTACGACGCTGTAACGTTAGGCTTCTGGTTTCTGGAGAGCCCAGCCTTGGGACTTTCTACTGGCGATTCGTTCACGTATGGCGCTGCTTCTGAGGCAAATAGAGATTCTACAACTATACAGCCTATGACACAATTCGTTAGGCGGCATCATCAAATGGTGGACAATTTATGGTTTCATTGCATAGTCAAGGTAGATTTGAAAAGTAAAATACTTATGACTTTTCTTTGGTATTACTTTGATATATCAAATGCACTAACAGTTGAGTTAAACTAATCTAGTGAGCGCACTCTATTAAGATTTTGTGGTAGCTGAATTCTTAGAGTAATGGTCTATTTGACCTAGCTGTTGTCAAATAGACTTTTGGTTACTAAACCGTTTAATTATGCATGCTTCCATCTATATATGCCCTTAACTTACGATCTCCATTTTTTATCAAGGTCTCACCTGCTGATCTTAGAGCGGCTTTAATATCCAGGCGTCTCTTTGTGAACGGTGAATGTGTAACTGCATTATTGGCTGTTGCTCATGCCTATGACTTGCGTGATGCTCTTTCCAAGACCATTTATGGACAACTCTTTATTTGGCTAGTTGAACGCATCAACAACGCTGTATATCGGCCACTTTCTGATTCCCAAAATGGGGCTTCCACTTCGCTATGTCAGTTAGCGTCAACCAAAATTCTACCTTGCTCTTCGTATTCGTGCCAAAATTCCCCTGATACTGATGCATTTAGAGATTTTGCTATATCGGGAGCTCGGGCTCCTTCATTAAATAGCATGAGTCTTGATATCCTAGGCCTTGCTAGCAATCCAGATTTGCTCAGGAAAGCAGAAGATTTAACTCAACTACCGACACCCCATCACTCAAATTGTGAATCATTGAAATCGCAAACAAGTTCTTTTCAGCAGAGCAATATTACAGATCTTCAGGCTGAAAGTAACGATTATCCTAGAGAAGTAAAGTTAAAAACCTATCGGTCTACCATAGGGGTATTGGATATCTTTGGCTTCGAAAACTTTGAACACAACAGGTGAGCTTATAAAATTCTGATATATACTTCAAATACATTCGAACATTCTAATTGCACTCTTTAATAGCATATATCGTATAGTGCTTTTATGTCTAATATAACTCTACTCTTCGGATCGTAAAATTTATGGAGGAAAGACGTCTCATTAGATAAGGCTCCGAATAATAGGTATGAGCCAGAGTTAACATTTCGATGTGGATGATGTTTACCAGCTGATATTATTTATAGAAGTTGTTTGACCTTTTTTCGCAACTTGGTCATATTGGTAGGAAGACTTAGAGGAAGGCACCTTTTCCGGAGTCCATTGTATGCATAATCATTTCCAAAGTAGGACCGTGGACGTGGTACATTCCCAGACGTTTCGCCGGCA